GTTGTTTATATTTGCCTTTTCTATACACGATAACATTTTCAAAATATTTGATTTATTTTGAACTGTTTAGGGACATTTTCATTTTTCATTTTTTTTTAGTTTTTTTTTTAGAAATATCAATAAAATTTTATTTGTTGGTTGAAAAACTTGAAAATTTAATAGAAGGCTCCTAGTATATTGTTTCAAAGGCAAATGAAAAATATTAAAAATCGTTAGTCACAGTTTTTTTTTATAAGCATTTAAAGTTCAAAAATTGACAAAATATGGAAAAATCACGAAAATTAACAAATTATTTTGAGTTAAGAATTCGTAAAAATTTTTCTTTTGAAATCTAAGATTTGAAAATCTAATACAAGATTACTCATAAGATTGTCTAAATTTATCAATAAAAAAATCTCTACCGGAAAGTCAAATTAAATTTTTATGAGCGTTTGAAATTCAAATTATTACAACATTGGATATTCACTTGATTTCTCATGTAGCGATTTTCTTATTTTGTTGTAATTCAAAAACGAATAACTATAGATACATGAAAATTTCACTGAATGTTCAGATTAGAATTTCCTATACACTGTACAATTTTGAAAATATTTCGACTCTTTTTGAGCTGTTTACGGATATTTTCAGTTTTCAATTTTTTTAGTTTTTTTTTTCTATAAATATCAATAAAGTTTTATCTGTTGGGCCAAAAAGTGTAAAAATTTAATACAATGTTCCTGATATTTTGTTACAGTAGCAATTGAAAAATATTAAAAATACATAGGCACAATTTTTTTTTATAAGCATTTAAACATCGAATTTTGACAAAATTTATGAAAATCTCGAAAATTATCAATCATTGTAATTAATAAATTATAAAATGTTCAGTTTTTATAGCTAAAGATTGCAAATTTAAAACAAAGGTTCTCATAAATAGTTCATACTGTAACCAAAAAATCTAAAAAAATATATGAACACAGTTATTTTTTACAGACATTTTAAATTCAAATTTGGACGAAATTACATATTAAAATCAATATTAACGATCTTTGTTTTTGTTGTAATTTAAAAATATTATTCGGGGATATATGAAACTGAAAAATCAAAATATTATGGCCTATCCATACAATCTACCATAGTATAAGGAATAAGAATTATACTCATGATAAGACTGTGAATATTTTAAGGAATTTATTCATAAATTCCATATAATTTAATACCATAGAAAAGTATATAATATGTCTATTATACCAAGACCATATCAGGGTTTGTTATTGATGTAAAACGTGTTATAAGTACCTAATAATGGATATTGTGATATGATTAATTTGGAATTTATTATAGGTAAATTTTTTTTTTAATACCATAGATATGTATATAATATGTCTTAAACCTAGACTGACTTAACGTCTCCGCTCAGAATCGTTTTTCTTATACAATGATATATTATATCATTGCATTCAAATTTAATACCATCCATTATACAGTGGCCCACTTGTAACCTACAGTACAGCAGAGCGACAACCACTTACCCACCTTTTTTTTATTTTTTATTTCTTATAATTTAAGACTTACCTACATATCAATAATCTATTTTAAGTTATAACTCATTAACTATAATGAGTAATGACTCAATAATTTAAAAAATATAGCAGTATTTTGATAAACACGTAAGACTGTAATGTAATAAATAATAATATTATAAAAATTATACCAATAAAATGAAATAAAAATAAAATTTGAATAACAACATTTTTGAAAATGAAAAACGGGTGAACATGTTACATGATGCTTGAGAGTTGAGGTTTGCCGCTTAGTGAATCCACTGTATGTTATACATATTACCTATAAACTTATGAAAACTGTGAAGATTTTCTACAAAATGAATTATGAAATATACAATCTTATATAGTTATATGGTAGGTATTATTGGTTAGTATGAGAAAAAAATATATTTTCTTTAATTTTTAGTTGTTATACCACAATATTTATTTGATCATGATAAGCTGTATATATCATATTATGCATAGGGCTCGCTGTATTTTCACTAAACCAGCAATTACCGGTATACCGGTATATTAATTAAATATATTTAAAATATACTGGTACTTATTCGTTGTTTTCGGTATTTTAGAATACCGGTATACCATGATTCGGTAATTACTGTTGTTACCTATTATAATACCGTATACATATAGCCCATATAGCCCATATAGGTACTTAGGTTCAGGTATATAACTTAAAATGTATAAAATCATAATTTATAATAATTATAAACATAATATTTAAAGCAGATGTAATATATATTCCTAGGTTGAAAAACAATAGTAAATAAGCATGTACATCATTGACGGAAACAGGAAACAAATCTTTTAGATTCCGAGTGGAACGATGAATGTATTGATTTTACAATGTAAGAGTTTTTTTTATTTTTGTGTCTCATCACGGTTTAGGGCAGTAAAACTGCTTCGATTTTCTTTAACAGTATCTTTTTCGATGGGAAAGTGAATCTAGTTGGTACATTCGGGTGGTCAAATATAGTTTTCAAAAGCGACAGGAAAAGCAACATAAAAATTAAGGAAAAACGGAAATTTTTACTCAAAATAGGTTAGATTTTGGTTTTTGATTTAACTCTAAAACAAATTAATGTATATACATGCAATTTTCACTGGTAGTTTATATTTGCATTTTCTATACACGATAAAATTTTCGAAACATTTTGATTTGTTTTGAACTGTTTAGGAACATTTCCAGTTTCAAATTTTATTAGTCTTTTTATATAATAATTATTTTGAAGTTAAAAATTTATAAAATGTTAGACTTTTATAGCTAAGGATTGAAAATTTAAAACAAGGGTCCACATAAATAGGTATATACATAAATTACTTTATTCACAATAATATCATCAAATATATTTAGTAATATCATAGGCTGACTGACCATTTTCGCTCAGAATCGTTTTTCTTATAGAATGATATCATATCATTGAATTCAAATTTAACACCATCCATTACAGCGACCTACCTGTAACCTTCAGTAGAGCTACTTTTTTAATATTGGCGGAAACGGGCGCGTTGGCGGAAATAGTTATTCTACATTTTGGCAGTAACGGGTGATTACCTACAAATAAACCGAAGACCAGAAAGACACCGAAGTATATATCTATTATTATAGTTGTAATTATAACTATTAGGTACTAGCATTACTGTAGTTGGTGACTACTAAAATTCAAAAATTGGATAGGATTAAGTTTAATGTTTAAATAAATTATAATAGCTGCGCAAAGTTAAGTTTGCTAATAAATTAGGTATTATTGTAATATTATCGTGTATGAATGTATAATGTTGATTATAATAATATGCAATATGCTATAATATTAAATTGCATACCTTATAAACTTATGTGATAATGGCCTATTTCTTATACGAACGAATAATTATAATAATTGAATAATTGTATAGTGTAAATTACGATAAGTTTAATTTGTAATCATACAAATGAATTATAATATATCGGTACAATTAAATATTAATGGCATTAATGCTATTAAGAGGATGCCACACGTCCATAAATAATTGGTTATTATTAGGGCTCGGATTTATATGTAGGTAAATACATATTTTCTCTGCGACATGATAAACTAATTTCGGCAAGTGATAAATTCGTTTCACACGATTTTTGATAAAATGAGCTATATTTGATTTTACATATTTTTGCATATTTCACAACCATTCAATTTTTTCACATATTTAGACAATTTTACTTTTTTAACGTCTTTTCTTCAGAGTTCAGGTCCATCGGACGTATTTTTGACTTGGCTAAATGATACCTTGGCACTCAACCTGTTATAATTTCAATTATTTCTAGATACGATTTTAGTGATTGAAATATCAGATATCTTATCGTAATGTATTACGATTAACACATTTTTAAACACGTTAAACACGAACGAGCGAACACTGCGATGAGTGTGTAGTTTTTAATGTGACATCGTAGTGTGCGTGTTTCGTGGCCACGTTTTTTGTTATATTTTACATGTATATTACCAATAGATAATGCCAATTGCCAAAAGTACGAACGTCTAAAACTTGCAAAGCAATAAAATATGTTTCTGAATATCCAAATGAACATTTACAAAGCGACTGTCACATTTTGTATTGTACCTACTGCTCGTAAAAAATCGATAACAATTGATTATTATTTTTTTTTTTTTTATGTTATATATTTTGAATTCTTTAGCACATACTTATGTACATATTTTTGTTGTATAAATACATACTTTGGTTATATAAATATATATAAATCCGAGCCCTAGTTGGCTAGTTATTATAATAAGTTTATTTCACGAGGGCAAAATCAACGGGCAACTGGCTACAATGTACCAACCTACTCCTATAGGCTATAGTTAAAAAGCCATATGTCCACCATAAAAAACAAGAACGACCAATATACAATAAGGCATGAGATCACTTGTTTTGAAAATGTGTTTTTACTGTAATATTAATCATAGAAATAGAATAACAAACATTACAAAAAAAGTGAGTGATGCGAGTACGTGCGGATAAAGTGAAACTTTTTTACAGAGGGTACGAAAAATACGTTACACACGTTTCTATGGTTTGTCTGTATAAAAAAAAATACGAAATAGCTAACGAATAGCTCCTGAAGGGACTGAGGGACTCCATCGTTACTTATAGCTAGAACCCTGACAAAATGGCTAGAACCATGTCGTATTTTTAAGTGTTTGTCTGTAAGGTATGATTTAATCAATATGGTTATATGGATGGACTAGGCCCTAAGGGGAGAAATGTACGGGGTTTTTAAATTTTTAAATGTTATTTAGATTTTTTGTTTAATGTAATAATAAATAAATTCTTGTAAGTTATAACAATATTCATTTTTTTTATTCAATATAATTTTTGAGATCAACAACACATTATAAAAAAATAATTATTTTTAAAGAAAAAAAAATTTGGAAACTAAATTAATATTCATGTCTTTTTCTTTGTCATTGATATAATTTAATCTTCTTTGGTAGCTACCATTGGAAATCGTACAACACGTAACTCTGTGCCATAATCACATACAATACTGTCCGATAATGTTAACAATTGAGTAACAACATTACAATCAGAGTCTCCTAAGCTAAAAACTTTTACTGGCTCTCCAGTTTGCACATCCATAATAACTATAGAACCCTGAAATCATAAAAACAATGTTATTTGCATAAAATGTTCAACTTTTTAAATATCACATTATAAACTACCTGTTTGGAAGTAATAAGCAAATTATGTGTTAACATCGCCAAATTATAGCAGTAGACATTGCTCTGTATAAAAAAAATTATTGATGAAAATAAAACTCAATGCATTGTCAAAATTAAAATATCTTACAATTTGAATACTATTAAGTTGGTGACCATGAAACCTATCCCACACACAAATTTTATCGTCTTGACCAATGCTAATAACATAACTAGCTGAACATGTTATACCTAAAACTCCTCCATCATGACTTTGAACTGTATACATGCATGTACCTAGAAGTGAAATATACTAATTAGTAATTACTAATAATTCCAAATACATATCAATTATATTATTAAATAATATTTAATTTGTATGATATTATTTATTATTTACAAACCAGTAACTAAATCCCATACACATAACATTCCATCTTGACTACCAGATGCAGCCATGTGAGGATTTACTTGATCAATAAATAAACACGTTATTGGTCCGTAATGGCCATGTAAGGTATATAGTAACTGTCTATCTTCGATTCTAAATACCTAAAACACGTAAATAATTAACATGAAATCTGATTAGTTGTTGATAAGTTCAGGCGCGGGAAACATTTTAGACTGGGAAATCAATATTTTGACCGGCCTTATCATTTTTTCAACCCAAATGTCTGAAAATACAAGTGGCCCAATGTTCATCTGAGGGTTTTATTCAAATTGTTTAAAAAACAATTTAAGATTTTCAGTATTTCTAGTTATTTTCATATAATAATTATTATTAATTATTATAATTCATCAATATATAGAGAATGAGTAGTATTTGGTACTATTACCTATATTGGTATTAACATTAGATACACATGTGAGATGTACAATAATTAATAACAAAAATTGCATAACCTTATTTACTATACTGGACGGATTTATTTTTCAACTTTTGTAGTTTTGTATAATGAAAAGATTGTGAAATCAGTGTTTTTTTTTGGTCTGACTTAGTTAAGGTTATAGTCATTTGAAGATTGTCATTTTTATGGTACCTATTGGTTAACTACCTCAATATCTTTGTTTTTATCAAGAACAAATTGTTATAGTTCAATGGGAATGATAGCAAATCGATAAAATCTTCTGTGCTCGATTTATAAAAATTATATACCGGTTAAGAGGACATCGCACCCGCATATGTTGTCCTCGTCTTAAAAGTATTAATTATATTATAAACGGTTATTTTATATCATTAATGATTAATCATTGAACAGAAACCTAACATCAATACTAAAATATAATAACTGGTTGCACCATGTCGTGTTGCAATAAGTGACTACTGCAGTACAGAGGCATACATAACAAAAACTTTTATAAGATTATAAATACTTAAAAAAAAATTAAACAATTCTGGTTTCACCAATTTTTTTAGTGCATAAAGACATCAATATGTACTTCAAAAGTTAGAAAATATACTTAAAACTTAAAAGGTAAGTAAATTATTGTGTCAAGCGATCAAATTGTATACGTATAAGATAGGCAATTACAGTGTGCCTGGCCCATGACAACACTCATCTTTTTTCAATTCCCCATTGCTTATTGAATAATGTAAGTATAAACGTTATATAGACGTTAAAATGACTCTTAGAATTGAACATTTTTCCGAACTGAAAAAACTTATTTTTTGTGTTCTGTGTTCTTTTAACATAAATAAATACTAACATATTTTAACACCGTATAATAGGTTTTACCAACCTTAAGCATGTGGTCTTGGCTACCAGTAACAATGTAAGCGCCATTAGTTTCAAGAACAGTAACTGGTTGATTATGTGCCTTTAAAGCTTCTATATGAAGACAACGTACAGTATCGTTAGGTGTTTTTAAAGTGTGAAGAGATGAACCTATACTCCTCGTTCGTACATGTTCTACAGTAATAAATAAATATTGTTTAAATATAATAAATAAATTTAAAACAAACAATTATATTTATTCTAATATATTTACTTCTAAGAGAGAAATTAGTTTTAGGTTTTTCTATAGATTCTCTCAAGGTTGATTCACTAAAAATATCAAGCTTGAAGAATTCTAAAGACCCATTCAACCTCACAGCAACTACATATTTATTGATTAGTTTAATTGCTGTAAATCCATCATTTATGTTTCCTTGCCACATACACTAAAGTTATTATTTTTAAATAAAAAAAATATTCAATAGTTTAACATTTAATGTCATACTTTAAGTATCCCATTGTACATATCCCAAAATTGCAATGAACCATCAGCACAGCCCAGAACAACAACATTTTCATTACAATCAACACACCATATCTGGGAATTGACACAGATCTCACTTTCAGAAATCTTTTTGGTTCGATTTTCCTGTTCATTTTGGTCTGAATTAATAGTATGTTTTGCTATGTTCTCATCTTGGCTTCCCATATCATAATTAGTGTTTTCAATAGAGATCACATTTTTACATCTTGCACATAACCTAAAGAAAATTTGTTAGATATATATTATAATTAATTTTACTAAATAAAAATTAAGTCTTACTGTTCCATATTTTTAAAAGATTCTAAAAAACCATAATTAGACATAGAATTAGAATCAGAAATAGAGTTTTTAAAATCATTTGAGAAGTCTTCAGACAAATTTAATTCTTCTGTATCTTCATCACCAGCATTGTTTAGATTAGACCTTAAACAAAAATAAACTAATATGAAAATATATTTGTCTCGTTTTAACAGTAAATAATATCATAGTTAAAATGTATACTTTAAAACAGAGGTCATTAAATAGCGGCTCCCAGGCGATATGCGACTCATGTACAAATTTTATATAGCCTGTAAACCAGTGGCGGAGCGAAATTGTGGAGATTTTGAAGCATATTGTATATTTTAAATATTTTTACCACCGTACCCTTCATTGAACCAAAATTAGCAGCAGGGGCCATTAATAATTATTAATTAAAATATTTACCAGGATATTTGTGTTGAGGTCTTACGATTATAAATATACTTTATACACCCACCCACCCATTTCTGACATGAAGCAATTGCTTCAAATAGTCCTATATCCCGCCGCCACTGCCGTAAACAACAAATTTATTCCTTAAATTATTATTTTTTTGTTAACTGAATTAGGTTTTCATTTTATTTTTTTGATTTTGAATTAACTTTTTTTCGTTAAATAATATGTACATTGAATCTTGATTTCCTTCAAAATTCTTAATGTGACCCGCCTAAAGGTATTAATTGGTGACCCCTGCTTTAAAGTATTGTAATATCCAGTTCAAAAACTTCCGGTTTAATCCAGAGCCAGATTTAGGGAATAATATATTATGGAGGAGCCTCAAATAAATAATCTTGATATCATACCTTTTAATAATTAAATAAGATTTATTATTGCTTGTATACTGTAGTACACAGTGACGTGTTTACGGGGGAAAATCAATTCCCCCATAGGTTGTTTATAATATGCAAAAGTTTTTGGAGTCCTAACTTAAGGCCTCTAACTTTAAAGGTGGGGCTACTGGACATACCCCCAAGACAAAAACCTAAATACGTCACTGGTGGTACGTACTAGCTACTTATAATCTTAGTATTTTACTAAATAAATTATAAATTAATCAAATTGGGTAAGTAATATCATATTTGTAGAAAATGATTACCTTATTCACTTAATAACAAGCAACAACTAGAGTCTATACTAGAACTTGTGTATTTCGTATGTTTAATAGTAAACAGATCTAATAGTTTTTCGTTGACCAATAAATTACAATTTTCACATACAATTCCCATAAATGTTTATTTATAAATACATTAGGTAATAGTATTACGATTGACGATGGAGGGCGCAAAAACTTGTCTTATTCCTGAACCCCAGTGCATCACTCATTATTTTATTTTTATTTAACGGATATTACATACTATGTGTAATACAAAAGTAACTATTATTTGTTTGATAAAAATTTAAATTTAAATGAAAAAATAAAGTTCCATATTATTACTGTTTTTTTTTCTAAATTTAATAAAAAGATATTTATTTTACACTATTAGCTAATACGGCTCCATAATCAAATAAGATAATTGTTTAATAAATATAAATGAAATACATTTTTTTGTATTTTACTGTTAAATAATAAGTACTACAAAACTGTAGGACCCTTGGACTGCACTTCCAGCACCCCTTTCCCTAAATCCAGCCCTGGTTTAATAATTTTGTTTTAAGGCATTTACAAATACATTGAATAACTAATTATTCCTTTACGTATTATATTTTTAAAGAATGTTATGACTTATGAGAATTAATGAATAAGTTAATGATTTTAGTTCAATATCGGTGTTCCTATCTTACCAATAAAATATTTCATGTCAATTTATACTTTTTAATTTTCTATAAAAACCAATGAGTAGGTTTAGTTAGTTTTCATTAAAATAAAATCAAAAAATATTAGTATAAAAAAAAGAATAAAATTGCCTAACTGTTTTTACGAAATTTACCTATCAATGGTACTAATCAATTCACCAGTTAATGCATTCCAAACATTAATACAACCAGCAAGGCATGTACTAACAATAATATTTCCATAGGTAGCAATACATTCAATTGATTGTGTGTGCCCTTTAAATTCAATTGGAACTGCTTCTAAAATAACCTGAATAAGAATTTAAATCTACAAAACTTAAATAATTTGAAATTTAACTCTATTATAAACTATACATACTTGTATACCAGAGTCATGCTGTATATAACTCACATCATGGCTCCACCCAGCTCTCCATTCAGCATAGTTACGACTACAGACACATCGATACAACATTATCAATGTATAGACTAGCACTAATATGCTAATTAAACATAGAACGGCAATTAATATTAATTCTGATGGCGAAGTAGGTATAAAAGGCTCGGATGATTTATCTATAACATTGATGTCTTTTCTACTTTCTAGTGGTGCTACAATGTGAGTATCTAAAATAAATTATAATGCATATTTAGCAACAACTATTTTTAATCTTAACAGTTGTAATATTATGAACATACCAACAAAATCAAAAGGGTCAAGAGCAGCAGCAAATGACTTCCAATGGGATGGAAATGATTTATCCGCATCGTTTAGAGATTCACGCAATGACATTGCTTCCTCTGGTTTCACAGAATGAGCCACATGTATAGGTTGTAATACAGACACATAGGATCCAGCAATACTAATATTATACATGCCTAATAAAAATTGCCAGTTATACCAAGAGAGTCTAGGCCAATGGGGCCATTTTTCTGCATTTAGAAGTTGCACATAATATGGTAAATCATTTTCTTGAGATTGATTAGCCTTACATAAAAATTATAAAATTAGTTTTAAGACATATCACCTAAAGTAATGATCATCATTTATTAATTAATAAAACACCTTTTTGTTAGACTGATGTTCTTCTTTTACTGTAAATCTAGCTTTGTTTTCAATTATAACAGCTCTCCGACCCTCTTCCCATGCAAGAGGAAAATGTATATTAGATCGTTCTTGAATATATGGTTCTTCAATAGTTACAGATTTTCTTAGATCAAAAAACTCTTGCACAGTTTCTGTGTTATATATAATACCAGATATCCAAAATACCATAACCATCATTAATACTCGCTGAACAATTCTTGTAGCTGCCCAAAGATATAGGAATCTCAAACGTTTAGATATTGGTCTGCGTCGGGGATCTTCTAAAGAAGCCATTATCTGCAAACCATTCAAGCGTGGATGAGAAGCAGATTTTAACATCACACCACTACGACTTGAATGTTTTAATGCCGGAGGATTAGACTTTTGCATTTTATTGGCCAAATTAGCAAATGAAAACGGATAATATGTTTTTTGGTAAGTAGAATCTTCTGCTGATTTCATATTTAATGATATGAGTGCAAGAAAAAAGAACATTTGAAAAAAGTAGTCACATAACAAACCCACTATGGCAAATATACAAAATTCCTAAAAATTTGATTCAAAATTAGTATAAAATGAAAATGTTAAAATATAAAATCACATTACTTGAATTGATGAAACAAAAGTCAATAATCCACCAGTTAAAATAGTAACTTCAATTAAAAGATTTTGAGTTATGGCCCATCCTTCTTTACTTAAACCTTGGGCCAATCTTATTTTTACATCTAAATTTGGTGCTGTCGAACCCACTGATTTTATTATGATCAACATATTTTCTAGACCAACAACAATAACTAAATAAGGAAATACCTAAAAAGTTATATAAACTTAATATTGTAAAGAAAAATAATATAAATTAATATAAAAATATAAATAAAATTACCATTTGACTTTGAATATTTATAGTAAAATCTAATCCAAATAAAAAACAAAGCCCCATAGTTGTTAAAAGAGTAGATACAACCGTGAAAACAGCTCCAAAACTAATTCCAACCTAGAATATAAAAATAATTTGATTTAAATTATATAACATAAAATTTAAAATAAATAAATATTATACCTTAGAGACAAATATGTCCATTTTTTTAATAGAGTAATAAATGTACCCAAATAAAAGCATATAACACGAGAGTAAAAAAAATATTGTTTCATAATTTATTTCTCCAGGATAGTAAATATGTAAAGTTGACGTGTCTAAAAGAATTTGATTTGATTTAACATGCACAGGGTAAATTTGTTTCAAATGAGTTTTCAATCCTTCTATGTACCTATGTTTAAAACATGTTTGTGTTATTACTTATTAGGTACTACATACAGAAATCATAATAATTTTTTATTAAAATGGTTGTAATAATAAAAATAAAAAAATGATCTTTCAATTCAATTTATAAGGCTATGCCTTAGGTATATCTATTAATAACTTGTTTTAATATTAATTAAAAAGGTGATTTACGGTGGTACAAGTTGTTTCATAAATATTGTAACAGCAAATTGGACAACTCTTTGTCGGGGATGTACAGAATATCTTCTTATTCCGGTTTCTTTAAGTGGCATACCAAATAATAATTCCGGAATACTAATTTTTATATGAGATGGGCTCTGAAAAACAAAAGGTGCTATAATAAAATAAGTTATACAATATACTATGAATTAATACGTACCTGATAAGTAAAAATTGTTTTTTCAATGCTACTATCAGTACGGAACTCTTCTAAATCTTGATGCCACAGATTAGTTGGTGATACAATTAAACAACTGAACTCTGGCAATGTTTTTATATCAGAATTAATGTTTTCTATGTGTAGACAGACATCATTTAAAGAAATTCTAATGAATAAAACATATTTTAATTTACAAATAATATTCAAGATTTTTTTCAAATAAGTACTTGTTATCTAATTGATAGTTTCTAATGATCTCAACTAATTTAAATGATTCAGCTAAAGGGCCTCTGAAGGCGTCTGACAAAACTAAATCATCCAACCATGGGGTTACCATTGATCTCATAACTATCTATAGAGAACCACAAAATAATATAATTAAAAAATAAAGATTTTAAATTTAAATAGCAGTATACTAGGTTATTTAAAATGGGTTACTTGTTGAATATACACACTGGGTTGTCCATTAAACAATCGATTTGTTATATTATCTGGCTTATAAGAAGATGTTATGGTTGATTGTACTACATTGCTAAACAATGGCAATCCAAACAGTGATAAGCTAAAACAATAAAATTGATTACACAAATTATAATATTATTACTTATATAAAATATTGTTTAAAATTTTGATAAATTAAGTTAAACATTAAATATATAACAAAAAGCAGCACCTGTTGGAAATATGTTAGCTTTTTTTTAATAAAAATATTTCCAAGTTTAACTTATTTCATAAATAAATATGACTAATATGATATACATAATACGATTAATAATTATACAATAAATGAAATAAATAAGTACTTATGAAATTTTTAATTATTTTGACATGTTATTACTGTGAATAAAGAAAGATTATTTATAATAATTGAAAAAATAAATGTAGATCAATTACCTGCATACAACAACAATTACAGTAGAAATTGTTAATGAAATGATGGGATGAGAAGCACAGAAAAGGCCATAGGAGTAATACAACTGTGACACTTTATCTGGAAGACGTCGGGGCACAGCTGAATTCGTCCAATTCGGGTCACCCATTTTTTGTGAGGAATCTGCAAAATGTGTTTTGATTAAGTGAACACTCGAGAAGTTTGCAGTTAAAAAATAAAAAATAATGCTTTACAATGTTCACGTTCGCATCTTATAGATGGTTAATTCAAACAACGACTAAGCCCAGCGCATAGTTAGTAGCTAGTCGATATTGATTTTTATTAAACAGTTTGTAGAATTAAACGAGTCATATATTGAGTTCGATCCTGATCATTTCGTACAAGCTGTAGCAATTGGTCACGTAACTTGGCATGCGTTATCCAACTACTATAATATAGAAAATATATCAAAAAACGAACAACCGAGGATAAAAATTAAAACGTAGATGTTAAACGAATATAAGCCGAACGTACGTTATTTGTAAAAAAAAACAAGTAATAATTATAGAGAAAAAACAATAAAACTTAAAATCACGGTCTTTAGAGTTTAGACTCAACCACACTGTTGTAACTCACAGTCCTGAAACATATTATTACTTTACGTGTTATGTCTAACAACTAGCAACATTGTAACAACAATTAATTTATCTTTTTGGTATGCTTGTATCATACATCTATACAAGTTACAAGTAGGTACCTACTACAATTGTACTAGGTACATCGTATATGAATTATGAACCGAATTTAATAATATAATAATAATAAGTAATAACCAATATTACCATAGGCCACTATAGAGAACATGCCGTCACCGTCACCAACCATTACTCATTAGGACGACGACGTGATACTGATAACAGTGATAACAGACATTTCTAACAACGGATTGTGTATTGCTGATACTGAATAGTGAACTTGTTGCTTGCAGACTGCAGTTACGAGTTCGGAAAATGATGACTGTTGACGAGGAGATGATCGCCGGTCACAAGTCCACGGGGTGTGCAACTTGGTGACTCAGTAGGGGGTAGATTACTGAAGTAGTGGAGTATGCTGTTGCTACTTGCTGTAGTGCCGTCGTGACTACGCATTACGCACTACGCATTACGCACTACGGAAATCGCGGTCAGGCAGTTGTAGCGTATCTAGGATTTTTTCAAGGGGGATATCCAATTTTTAATAGACATTCAGTATACACATGTTATATTCATATTATTATTTACATGTTGTATACTTGTATTGTGTAAAAAATTTGGTCTGCGGGGGGATATGACCCCTGTAGATACGCCACTATGTACAAGCGTATATAGTATATACTAGCATAGATAAAAGTATCTATTACCTATATCAAGCAATCAAGCTGAGGTCAATTGGTCAGTACTTGGTAAGATAATTTAGGCGCTGCCGCCTACAATGTACCTATAATTTTATTGTTCCAAACTATATTTATTCCAAATTGAATTTGTACCAATGGATTTTTATTACACAATATATTTTTCAAATTTAAAACAAATGTTTATTTGAACAACTGTAATTTGAAATACACTGATTAGAAGTGTAAAGTGTTCATGGGAGTTTTCAGGGGTAAATCCCCCGTGGCCTTTTTTTAGTGTCAAATTTCCTCCCCCCCAATTAAAAATCTTGAGAACGCCTTTGGAAGTGTTAGAAGCATGAATAAAGAATTATTGAACCATGGCTCTTGATATATCCAAAGAAATTTAAATCAAATTTTAAGTTTTTTATTTTCAATGTTAAAAAATAATTTTTTGCATAATATATGTGTAGCGGCGTAGCGCAAGTGACTATAAATTGAATATAAAAAAACATTATAAATATTGATTAGAACATAAGTTATTCCAAAAGTCAGTTCTATCTAGTATCTGTACTATATAATACCATACGGATACACAATCACACAGGCTGTCGGAAACTTGGAACTCCAGTGAACACTAACTAACAAGTGATTCGTAAATCATAATTATAGGTTTTTGTCCGAATTTGGACACGGGAATGTTTATATTTATAAGTAAATACTAGCGATAGGTACTATAAATTGTCGTAGCGCCGAGTCGCTAGTACTCGCTACAACGACCACAACGACCGGGTTTAGTAGAAACATTAGAAAATGATGATTTATGTTCTAAATAGATTTGAATTCGATAAAATGACAATTGTTTCATTCATTATACTCTGATACCCTGATGTCTGATGATAAACTGTTTTTGGTTTTTTTTTTTGTAAGGAGAAGTTTTGATACATACACAGAATACATAAACACACAAATTATTAGAGGGTGCTAATTTTAAAATTGGGGGTGCTAATACCCCCACCCCCCTATTTGCGCCTATGATCTGGAGAAGAGTAGTCTCCGATAACATCAAGTTCTATCCTTAATCTATACAGTACTTATACTTAAGTTTTTATACAAAATATACAATGTGTCCTGTGGGGAAGTAACTGGTTGGACGGTTGGCCTCATAATATAAGTTATAACTTATAACAGTATACGGCATACGCTTACCTTAAGTAGGTACTTAAAATTTAAATTATGAAAAAAATCCATTAAAGGGTGGTCTAAATTTTAAATTTTTTTTATTTATGGGTAATTCAATTTTTTTTTAAACAAAACTGAACCTACCGCACATTTGATTTTTGATGATGTATGGTACCTACATAATCATATCTTCAAAAATGTTCAACTTTATATCATACATTTTTTTTTTTAATTTAAAGGTGTTTTATTGTGGTATTCACTAACATACCTACTCAATACAACTAGAATTATATAATATACAAATAATTTTTATTAAATCAAAAAAATTGCTAACAATTAGCATTTTTGAAAGGAAATTGCGTATAGGTGATAACTCGTAATAACATCGTATTTATATTACAATTTTTGTTTTTGTTTTAGTATTCTACAGTTTAATAACTAGAATACCTTAGAAATATTGTTTTAGCATCTTTCATAATTTCCTACTTCCTAGTGTATTACTCTGAAGTCTGATGTAAACGTAACACGACTTTCGTGATTATAGTTATTGTCAATATTCAATGGACAATCACTGGACAACCCGACAACGCGTTTAGATGAGGCATATATAGGTACTCATAAAGAGGTAAATTTTACGAAGATAAAATTTTCAGAAATGATTTTTTTGTTTTTGTCTTTATACTATGTGTATAATAAAGCTACCTATTAGAAATATTATTGAAAGATGAAAAATATAAGTCTAGATGTACCTAGGTATCATGTTTGTAATTTTTACCTATAGGTATTTCATCTCACACTCATTAGTCATTACCTTAGTAGGGGAGACTGGCTTAATATGACATATTAGGGTAATATGACACATTGATGTTTTGATTAGAATTATTGATATTTATGAACCAAATTTTCTTTAAATACGTTACATATAACCTCCTACATACAATTGTATACAGCGATCACCGGTTTTGACCTTATCAGAGAATTTGATAACAAAAATGTGTTTTTTGTCTTATCAACATTTTTTAAAATCATTTTTTAAAATTAATTTTAAAATATTAAACCTTATGTTCCTTCAATTTTTTTTATTCGAAGTTGAACATAAAAAGGCAAGCTATACTACAATTGTTTTATAAATAAGCTTATTATAATACTTTTGCCATAAATACTTTGAAAAAAACTTGTATTATATCAGGCAAAATGACATAGCCGTGCTTATTATTATATTAATTTCATATTTATATTATTATATTAATTATGTTAAATATATTTCTAAAATTTTGTTATTTATAATAAAAAAAATTCATTAAACTATTAAATTCTAAAAATTTTATAATTTATTTCTATTTACCAGTATACAATGGTTGCTTATAGAAATATGGTGTATGCCATTTTACCCGACACTCCGGGTAAAATGACATAGTAGGTACATTTAAAAAAAAGTGAATTAAAATTATTTGTTTATATTAAATGTACAATTAGACTTCAGAAATATGTGTATTATATAAGTACTAATATGTTCCTCAAGTTTCATGTGTTAACTAACATTATTTCCTTCATTTTTTTAAAATTAAAAATTGGTATGTCATATTAAGCCAGTCTCCCCTATAATCATTTTTAACCAATTGTTGTTCCTTATAAGTTTTTTAGAAGTAAAAAAATATTTTAATTTTTATAACCAAGGATTGAAAATTTAAAACAAGTTTTCTCATAAGTATTATACTTAAAGTATATCATAGTTCAACCAAAAAATATTTTTTACATTTTTTTATTTATACAATCTGTAATATTATTTATGCAATATGTATTATGGAGATTGGAGGGTAAAGTATATAGGACTTGAAGGCATGATAGAAGGATGTCCAATGACTACCTACTTCATTACAATAAATTAGCTTCCACAATATTGGTGTAGTTATGCAAAAATACAGACAAATAATATACCTAATAGCAGTATCAAAATACATTAAATCGTAATATTATGCTATTAAGTGTTTAAATAAAATACCAAAAAATCTAAAAATCATATAAGTAAGCATAGTTTGTTTTTAATAGATATTTTGAGTTTAAATTTGAACAAAATTAGGCAAATATTTAAACGGAAAAAAATGATTTTAGTTATTTCTTTTTTCTATTTTTCTTCAAAAATATTATTAATATAGGCCGACAGACGGTCTTCGGTATCATTAGTACCTATTTTCCATTTGGTACAAACTACACAGTCTTGTAAAGTAATAAGTATTCGAATACAACTATTTGAATACTTGTATTTAAATACTTTTTGAATTATTTATAATATGGTGTTCTAAATACATTTTTTTTTATGTATTTTTTAAGTATTTTAAATACTATACTATTAAAAAATATTTTTACCAAAATTTAAATATTTGTATTAAAATACCATTAAGTCCGTTTTATTAATTTTAATTTATTATTTTTCAAAAACAATTGACATCAATAAAAATAACATTGTTTTCGTCGAAAACTAATATTATGTTTTTGTATTGTAAAAGTAGGTAATAACAATGTTTACAATTTAAAAAATACCACATCAAATTTTATATAGTTTCTGTATTGGAATTTTTTTAACTTTTTATGAAAACTGAAAATCTAATAATTTTAAA